AGCCATTTTAAGCCTCTGATACCCGAAAATCAACATGGATTCATTAAGGGTAGATCAACTGTCACAAATCTTCTTGTATATAAAAACTACCTGTGCAAGGCTTTTGCCACAGGGGGTCAGGTTGACTCTATCTACACAGATTTCTCGAAGGCCTTCGATAAAGTGAGTCATAGACTACTTTGTAACAAGCTCGCCACCTGTGGTATTCACGGTAGTCTCCTTCGCTGGCTGGCCTCCTATTTGAATAAGAGAAGTCAGTTGGTGGCTTTGAGAGGATACACCTCGACCCCTACTGACATTACGTCAGGCGTGCCCCAGGGGTCACATCTGGGCCCGTTGTTATTTGTTGTCTTCATTAATGACCTCATTAAGAACATATCATGTGAATGTCTATTATACGCTGACGACCTGAAAATATTTAAAACAATAAACTCTTTCGAAGACTGTAATCTTTTACAGAAAGACTTAACTGCTGTTTCTCACTGGTGCAGAAATAATCTAATGTACCTTAATATAGACAAGTGTTTCGTTATTACGTTCACTAACAAGCGTAATGGGATCGTTAATGAGTACAGCATCAACGGCCAGACCCTTGAGAGGTCACATGTTGTCAAAGATCTCGGAATCCTTTTTGATGATAAGCTGACATTTCGCGAACACTACCACCACATAGTGAAAAAAGCGAATCAACTTCTGGGGTTTATTTTTAGATCTACTAAAGACTTCAAGGGCACTCATTCTTTTCTTTACCTTTTCACTACACTCGTCAGAAGCGTTTTGGAATACGGTAGTCCAATATGGTCTCCGCACTACAAAGTTCATATTGAAAATATAGAGAGAGTGCAGCGCAAATGCCTACGGATTTTAAGCTACCGCCAACAGTCGAGGCGCAAAACTCCTGATTATGAAGCTCGTCTCATTAATTTTAATGTACAAAAATTGGAAACACGTCGAAGATATTTTGATTTCGTTTACTTTTATAAAATACTTCACTCCATATTAGACGTTCCTACCTTGCTCGCTGAGATAACTTTTAATATCAAATATAGTGCTCGTAGAGCAAATCAAATAGCACTTTTTACTTTACAAGTGTATCAGAATAATACCTCCTTTTACAACCCCCTGGTTAGGATGGCTCGTCAGTGCAATGAAATAGCCAAGGGTAACCAAACCTTTGACGTTTTTCTACCTAAACTAACTCTTTATATTAATTTGATTAAAAGCATACTGTATCACAAGCCGACAGTCTAATCCCAGCGCTTGGACTCTCGGTCTCCTTATATTTTAACCCTATTATATTCTTATTTAGTATTGTTCATTGTACCTATTATTTAGATTACTGTTCTTGTTAAACCTTAAATTGTGTAGACATATTTAACTCCCTTGTAATTTTTCATGTACACACATTTTTGTGGAATGCAACCTAGTTTATAAATGATTGTTTTTGTATAATTTGTTTAGTAATAGTTGTAATCTGTTGTGTGTGATAATAAATAAATAAATAAAAGTGTGTAATCGCAGATATATGGACGTAAAGGAGGCGAGAGAGGTGTGTCAGGGTCGTGCCAGATGGAAGTCTGTAGTCTCTGTCTACCCCCCTGGGTGACAGGCTTGAGTGTATATGTATGTATATATGTATTATAAATAATATTTTGTTATTTGTGAAGTTATTTGTAACACATCATCATCATCATTCATCATTACAGCCCTTCACAAGTCCACTGCTGAACATAGGCCTCCCCCAAGTAATGCCACAAAGCACGGTCCTGAGCCACCTGCATCCATCGACTTCCTGCATATATTACCAGGTCTTCACTCCATCTAGTGGGGGGTCGCCCTACGCTACGCCCATCGGTACGAGGCTGCCACTCGAGAACCTTTCTTCCCCATCGGTTATCGGTTCTTCGAGCTATATGACCGGCCCATTGCCACTTCAGCTTACTAATCCGTTGGGCTATGTCGGTCACTCTGGTTTTACTGCGGATATCCTCATTTCTGAGTCCATCACGCAGAGAAACTCCGAGCATAGCCCTCTCCATAGCTCGCTGAGCGACCTTGAGCGTCCTCATACGGCCAGCAGTGAAGGACCACGTCTCAGAGCCGTAAGTCATCACTGGCAACACGCACTGGTTGTACAATTTAGTTTTTAGAGATTGAGGTATACCTGACGAGAAGATATGTCGTAATTTCCCGAACGCTGCCCAGCCGAGTTGAATCCGTCGATTGACCTCTCGGTCGAAGTTGGACTTACCTAGTCGGACTATTTGTCCCAGGTAAACATACTCGTCAACAACTTCGAGCATAGTGCTCCCAACAACTACCGGCATAGGTGTGACATGGACATTAAACATGATCTTTGTTTTGTCCATGTTCATCTTAAGACCTATCCGTTGGGAGGCACTATTGAGGTCATTGAGCATAGTGCTTAAGTCCTCCAGCGATTCTGCCATAAGGACTATATCGTCGGCAAATCGAAGGTGAGTGATGTACTCGCCATTGATGTTATTACCGTATCCTTTCCAGTCCAGTAGCTTGAAAACGTCTTCCAAAGCAGCGGTGAAGAGTTTCGGGGATATAACGCCACCCTGTCTTACACCTCTCTGCAGTTGGATAGGTTTCGACAGTTGGCTCTTTCTGGCAGACAGATCTCTGGCAAAGACTTTGGAATCCTGGTTCCGCTCGATCGCTTCTTTAATACGAGCAGTATTAAAGTTGCGTAAGTCTCGCCGCATGCATTTGGAGATCTGTCTGTTCAGTTGCCTGTATGCTGTCAAATCTGTTGACGATTGCAGCCTCATCTCCCGTCTAACAGCCATGAGATTAAGAGTGTGATCGGAGAGTTTTTGTGTTCTTCTGCGGTGGGTCTTGCAGAACTTAGCTCCGACCTCATGGACAGTTTCCACGAGCTTGTCATTCATATCGTCCACTGCATTGCAATCTTGTAGGCACTGAAAGCGGTTGTGTAACTCGAGCTGAAAGTTTTCGGGAGAGCACGAGGGTGACGGAGCGTTGACTTCATTAGACGAGACCTCTCCAACTTAACGTTTAGGTTCAGTGTGCCTCTAACCATTCGGTGATCGCTGCCAGTTTTCACCCTTGCGATCACTGAGACATCACTGAACAGTTGGCGTCTGGTCGTCATAATGAAGTCAATCTCATTTTTTGTCGAACCGTCGGGGCTCGACCAGGTCCACTTCCTGTGGGGCCGCTTCTGGAAGAAAGAGTTCATCATAAAGAGTCCCTCTTTCTCCATAAAGTCGGCCAGCTGCTGGCCCCTACGGTTCCGTTGCCCTACTCCAAATTTCCCTAACTTCAGCTCACCGCTTTCTCTTGTGCCTAGTTTTGCGTTGAAGTCTCTCATCAACACCGTGTAGTGGGTTTTGGAGGAATGCATGGCTTTGGAAATATCCTCATACATTTCCTCTACCTCCTCATCGGGATGTGCCGAGGTTGGTGCGTAAACCTGTATGACCTTCAGCGAATACCGTTTGGTGATTCTGAGTATCAGGTACGCGACCCTCGTCGACACACTCCCAACCTTTACAATTTTGTTGACGAGAGACTTGTGGACGATAAATCCGACACCTCCCAGATGGTCGCCCTCCCGGTGATAGAACAAGTTGCCGGATTCGAGAATCACCGTGTCCTCCCCCTCTCTTCGGACCTCGGATAATCCTATAATACTCCAGCGCAACTTGTCTATCTCTTCTTCCAGCTCCAGGATCTTCTCGTCAGTCCTCAGTGTGCGTGCGTTAAATGTTGCCAGGTCGAGTCGTCGTAGGTGGCAACCGAACCTCCACCGGAGATTCTTAGCACCCCCCTGCCCCGCCGTTAACCATGGTCGCCACCGTAGCCAGGAATAGCGGGGCCGCCGGGGACTGGGGGCCGTCTATTTGTGTAATTGTTTATGGAGGGTATATTGCCATAGTTGCCACGCTTGGCGAGCGGGTTTGCAACCGCAGTTTTTTTGTCGTACAGTTGCTGTTATCAGGAAGATGCTGCTGCCCATCTCCTTTCTGTGTCCCTCTGTCGCCTCTTACGACACCCACGGGAAGATATGGGGTAGTGGATATTCTTACCCGCCACTACACGGCACTTGTAACACACGGTCACATAATTGAGATGTTAAGTTTAAAATAAAATTTATCTGTTTCTGTAGTTATTAAGTAAATACACAAAACAATACCTCAGTGATGCAAAAAATGAAAAAGAAAATTTCATTTTTTGCAGATTTTTTAACTCCTTTTATAGTTTTTCTACTTTTAGAAATATCTGTAGTTTTGTTTATTTATTTCTATTCTAAATAATAAAAAATGTAACTAATATTACGGAAAGAAGCGTTAACTGATATAATTTCCTAACAAATTCTCTTCTTATTTTAAAAGAAAAATGGCTCCATCGTTTAACCAATGATTTTCTGCCAATGGTAAGGTTGAAAAATACAAGAGGATATTACATAAAAAAGGAAAACTGTTTAGTATATTTTTAATATGATATAAACTTACCTAATAAAAATATGATTTACTGAAAAAGTATCTATATTACTGCTATTCGTGTATACAGCCAGTTACCACCAGCTCTTAGACGCCTTACTTACTTAGCGGTCAGTCGCCGTAGAGTCTACATCACTTGATGATGCCTCGTGTAGAGGCGAAACACGTGCCGTTTTATCGTCGATGGTGTGTCCTATCTGGAATAGTGGTGTTGGAAGTAGTGGTGCCGGGAGTAGTGGTGTTGGGAGTAGTGGTGCTGGGACTAGTGGTGACGGAGTTAGTGCACGCAATTGAGGGAGGGCGGGAGGTACTCTTCAATCCAGGTAAGACCCATCTTTGTATTTGGTTAGCGGAAGGTTGTGAAGTAATTAATTTTTAATTTTTTTATTAAGTATAATGGATTTCCGCAAAATAACGCTGAATATATAAATATATTGTAACTGTGACTCTTGAATATTGACTCTGTTATATGTTTCTTTCCCAAATAAATTAAAAAAAATATTACAGGTTATACACGGAATCGGAATACGAGAATCTACCGCCGTGCATCCCGCCGGAAATGAGCAGGAGCGATCTGTCCGCCATGTTGCTGCAATTGAAGGCTCTCGGCATACACAACGTATTAAGGTATTAATAAGAAAGATATTTATTCACTACTAGGTGGCCCGGCAGACGCTATTCTGCCCTTTCTTACGCTATTAGTTTCATTTACACACACACACACACACACACACACACACACACACACACACACACACACACACACACACACACGCACGCACGCACGCACGGACGCATGCACGCACGCACGCACTCACGCTCGCACGCACGCACGGACGCACGCACGCACTCACGCTCGCACGCACGCACGGACGCACGCACGCACGCACGCACTCACGCTCGCACGCACGCACTCACGCTCGCATGCACGCACGCATGCACGCACACACTTTACTATAGACTTATTTAACGTAATACGCATGGCTAAATTCTCATTATGACTAATAAATAATGCCATCAAAAACATAACATAACCTAAAACCAAGTCTCGCAACTCAGTTCTTCTACCGTAAAAGTTGTGAGATCCATGTAATACCAAGTCGGTTAATTTATTCAGTCCCTACTTAAGGGTCCTTCTGTTTTAAGTTATTACGTAATTAGCTAACCTAACAACATTTTATAGTGACCATATCAATGTTAAAAATCTTTTATGTGTATATAACTTATTTTATATTCCCAGTGTTTGATGTCCTAATGTTATAGCCACCCACGGCTACTTTTAGTTTGAAATTATTAATTTTTGACCTGATCTACACTAAATGAGCTTATAGTGTCTTAAAGTTTTGTAGTTTAATTAATTATAATATAAGTCTTCTCACCGTATGTATGGAAAAGAATCTTTATGTGACGAACACTTGCTTTCGCCACAAGAGGATTCACATGTGTACTTGGGAAAGAGGTGACGATAGAAGCATGATAGATTTAATAATTGTGGATGAAAGATTGAGGGGCGCAGTGGTGGATACAAGGGTTTACCGGGGTTCTAACGTAGGAACGGATCATTATTTGATTTTATTCCGAATTAATGGTCGATTCAGGCGTTGGCGTTGGTCTACCACTGCGTTACAGCGTATTAGAACAGAAAGGTTACAAGATGAAGGTGAGAAAAACAAGTTCAAATGTAGACTGAAAGAAAATATAAGTGGTTTGGATTAATTATGTATGAAGGAGTTAGACTTGGAGAATGTATGGCAAAATGTAAAGAAAGGTTTATTGGATGCAGCTACCGAAGTATGTGGTGTTAGTGAGAGAAAGAATGAAAGGAAAAATAATACGTTATGATGGAATGATGAGGTACGTATGGAAGTTGAAGCAAAGAAGAGAGCATGGCTAGATTTACTAGCAACAAAGGCTGGTAATTCTAGCGGTACGAATGATATTGAAAGAAAAAAGGCAGTCTTTAGACATCTTAATAAGAGAGTAAAAGAAATAGTTGAAAGAAAAAAGCAAGAAAGAACGGATAAGAATGATAGAAGAATATCGGATAATTTCCAGGCAAATATTAAAATGTTCTGGAAACTTGTAAGAACTGCCAGGGGATATTCGAAACAGCCTATGATGAATGCTATAAGAGACGAGAATGGCTATATTCTGAATGATGAAGTTTTGAGTTTAAAGAGATGGAAGGAATATTTTGAAAGCGTGTTTATGAGTGAGGAGTAAGTGAAGTAGAAACGTGTGTACTAAGTGAAGTAGAAATTCCGAAAGAAGAGGAAAGAGGTAGCGAGATAAGTATAGGTGAAATAATGAAAGCAATGAAAAGCATGAAAGCAGGTAAGGCTGCCGGATATGATAGAGTTTCACTCGAAATGCTAAGGGCTGGAGAGGAAGTGGTGGCAGGCCTGCTGCACACCTTGTTTAATTTATGCTGGGAACTGAAGCGGGTACCGGTAGACTGGTGCAAAGCCGTGATAGTCCCAGTATATAAGGGAAAAGGGTCTCAGCAGGACTGTAAAAACTACCGTGGCATCAGCCTTCTTAGCATTGTAGGAAAACTGTATGCTAAGGTACTGATTGAAAGGGTCATGAAAGAAACTGATGGAAAAATTTGGGATGTGCAAGCGGGATTTAGAAAGGGAATGGGATGTACAGATCAAGTCTTTTCCATGCGCATGATCGCGGAGAAGTTTTTGGCCAAAAACCAAAAGGTTTTTTGTGCGTTCATGGACTTGGAAAAGGCCTATGACAGAGTGAATAGGGATGTGCTATGGCAAACACTGAACTCATTTGGGTTGGGCGCTGGCTTGATACAGGCATTGGAGTCCCTTTATAGGGACTCTAGTGCTTGTGTTAGGATCAACGGGGTCTACTCGGACTGGTTTGACATCCATAAAGGTGTCAGACAGGACTGTGTGGCTTCCCCGTGGCTGTTCAACCTATTTATGGACAGTTGTTTGCAAAATTTGAAAGTTGAAGAATGCGGATTAAGAATGGGTGAGTTAACCGTCAAATGCCTTTTGTACGCCGATGATCAAGTTATCCTTGCGTCGTCGGCGGCCGAGTTGCAAATGATGGTTACATTAATGAACAGATCATTAAAAGAAAGGGGTATGAAAGTGAACGCAAGTAAGACGAAGGTTATGGTTTTTGAAAGAGAAGAAAGTAAAACGATTTGTGAAATAAGAATAGAAGGGGGAGTTGATCGAGTAAGTAGATGAATTTGTATGTTTGGGCTGCGTATTAGCAGGGATGGGAGATATGATAGCGGCATTAAGCGAAAAATATTAGCTTAATGCCGCTATGTTTAGTATGGTAAGTGTAAAGAACAGGAGACCCTTTATTCTGGAAACGAGGCATTCCATCTTCATTCTCAGGGGTGACAACGCATCTATAATTTGATTGTTAACTGATCTAAGGGTAGATGTAGGTGTGTAAAGTCCACAGCATCCGTTTAACCAATAAGTGGAATTTTTTCTTTTTTTTGCGGTCGTTATTCTTATATAAAAAATAAACTGACTTATGTTCTTCGTTCTAAGGTTCACATTCCCGACTCCACCGCCAGCGAAAAGTCTGTTGTCCGGCTTGGAGACGTTGTACGCGTTGAAAGCTATCGACAAACATGGCGACTTGACCGAAGACGTGGGGGTTTATATGGCGGAGTTGCCGTTGAGGCCGATGTGTGCGAAAATGCTTTGTAACAGCGGTGAGCGTTTTTTTTAAATATTTTATTTCTTGCTTCGAAATTGCTTTAAAAATTAATTCTCAATGCTACTGTTTTTCGTATGATGAGTGTAGAGAAACGGTTACCATTTTTACTGGAAACGAGGCATTCCATCTTAATCCTCGGGGGAGACAACGCCTTTGAAAGAAAGAAAGAAAGAAAGAGGTATTTATTTGGCCATTTCTTAACAAATTAGCATTAAATACTCAAAAACATTATGTTTAGGTATTCTTATAGTTAGACTTAATTTAACACTTACAATTAAAAAATAAATCATTTTGATAAAGCAGATAGATACAAAATACATTAAAAAGAAGTGAACATGTAACTAAAAAAAACTTTATTTTAGTGGGAAATGGTCCAAATAGGACTGCCACTCAGGAAACGCTAAGATGTGTCATCCTAGCCCTGATTTTCAGTGGCTACCTTAAGTACATTACATACAAATACACACATATAGTATATATACATATACATAGATATATACACATACATACATAAGTATATACGTACGCATAATACACATACACATACACACACGGGCACATATTTTCTATATATACGGGGCACATATAATATATACTTATTTGGATTAATAATACAAGTATATACACGATTAGTACGTTTTTAATATTCTTTTTATATTTACTTTAGGGCCACAACTATATTATATTTGTAGTGCTATACCAGATGTTTATGAATGTTAATTTCATTGCATAACTGGAACCGAGAGTATAAAAATAATTTAAATCTCATATAAAATAACTTATACACAATAGCAACCCGAGAGATATTATGTTCAATATAACATGCTGCCGCATCCATTTAGCATTGTTTTATCACAGAACCTGGGATCTATGTACACTACGCGCGCAATGGAAAGAGAATAGTGTAATTAGATTGTACACCTGTGATGTATGAAGGAAAAAAAAAGACAATACGCACTGGACATTTGCATTTTGATTCTTAATCGAGGAACAGTATAGATGCCTGTGGGCCACAGCAACTACTTACCAAGTGGACTGTGTGCTCGTTTGTCACCCTTACTCCACTGTTATTTTTTAGTAAAAATATTATGGATTGCAACAACAAAAAAGCCACTGACTCGACATGATGCTACAGCAACACGTAGCGTTGATGTCCTGTATGAGAGACACAACTGGACTCGTGATTTTATATATCGCGGGTTGGCTCAAATGGAGGAGGACCACGCCCGCACTGATCACCAGCACAAAATAGCAGCATATTGCTTCTTCATCCTGTTGCAACCTGTTGCAGTCCACTGCTGAACACAGGCCTCCCTCACAGATTGCCTCATAGGGGGGTATATTTGCCATATTTGGCGCGCTTGGCAAGCGGGTTGGCAACCGCAGTTTTTTTATTTTTAGTCGTTATTATGAAGTCGCTTTTGCCCATCTGATTTGTTTCCCTCTGTCGGGGTAGATGAGTGGGATATTCTTATACCACTACTACATACTGCAATGCTTATCTTTATCGTATGTTTTTTTACACCTAATGGTGAGGGATCACCGTCGCTCATGAAGATCTTTATTTTATTTAGAATATGGGTGATAAATGATGTCCACTTGAAAGGAAGTAATCAAAATTCAGAAGCGTTGTCACCACTAAAGGCTGAGATGGAATGCCTCGTTTGCAGTAAAAAGTGTCTACGGTTCTCTACAATTACCATACGAAACACTAAAGCATTAAGCTTTTTTTTTGTATAATATGTTTAATAAACGAGCACACAGTCCACCTGATGGTAGGTAGGTGGATACTGTGGCCCATAGACATCTACATTTATCCTCGATTGAGAATCAAAACGTAGATGCGTTGTCACCCTTGAGGACTAAGATGGAATGCCTCGTTTCCAGTAAAAACGATTCTCCGGATCTCTATACTCACCATACGAAACACAGCAGTATGAAGCTGTTATTTTACGCTGGTATTCTGTGAGAGCGTGGTCCTTCCCCGGTCGAGCCGACCCATTCGTGCTACAACTATACTACTAATATAACTGCAGCATGGATCTACCACGTATAACAAACCCAAGCCCAAACTGTGATTAGACCAGGCGAATTACAAGACCAAGCTTCTTGAAGGTCCTATGTCGGTTCAGAAAAATTGCTGGCGACAACAAATTCTATAGTATGATTGTGCGAGGTAGAATATTCCGCGTTCATCGTACGGTAGTGGACCGCCAGCTATCGTGATGATGAAGATGGAATTTCGAGTTCTGTCTCCGTCTTTATTCTGTGATGCAAGTGCTGTTAGCCTATTTGGCTTTTACCGCTTCATCCGATACAGCCGTTTAAAAAAAGGGAAAGGCAATGATGAGGAGAGGAATGATGGGAGTTTGTGCCGCGCCTGCGTGGAATACGTTCGTGTGTCTAGTTGCTACAAATTCTGTTATCAAAATATGTTCTTAAAAATTTGTGATTGGCCAATTTATCAAGTTTCATTTTACCCTTTTATTCCTTATTACTCTAGTGCAGTATATATGGACTAACTCCGCCCAGTGGGATGTTTTAGAGAGCAATAGTACATGTTTGCGCAGTTCCTAAGTCGAAAAAGTGATAACTTGAGGGTACATACATTCGAGAGTCTCGAACCCCGTTCGTTTTGATCGTGAATAACCGCTGTACTAAACGCGCTAAAGAGTTGCTTAAGCGCACTACAAAATTACGCTCGACTTCGTGCTCACTACTGACGTCATCGACATTCATAACTTCGTTTAATTTGAACTCCTTATAAAATATTAACGCTAGAATGTCGAAGTGCGCTGCTTGCGGGAAATTTGTGAGTCCGGCTGATATTATTAAATGTAGCAGTTGTGCTAATATTTATGACAGAATATGTTTAAAGTTATCCAAAAGTTATAAAGTATCTCCAAAATGGCTTTGTCCGGGCTGTACTTCTAAACAACCACGAAAAGATAATACGGAGACTCCGATTAAGGTGCAAACAGAAATAAGCCAGAGTAGTTCCTCGAACTCATCACCTTCTAGTTGCAGTGGCTGTGATGCTACAAGTAAGATGATAGAGGAGTTACGTACGGAAATTGTCGCTATGCGCAATGAATTTGTAAACTTTGGGACAAAGTTCGACAGGCTTTACCTTGCCGTCAGCGACTTAAGTAAGCGAGTTGATGGGATAGAGAATCGGGTGGCTAATCTCGAAAAATATAAGGATGAGAACAAAAAGCTAAGCGACACATTGGAGCGTCTTAAGTTCGAGTTGAACGATCGTGATCAGGAACAGCTCCTTACTGATATAGAAATAAGTTGTATACCTGAGCATAAGGGTGAGAACGTGACTCAACTTGTTATGCTTATTGGTGAAAAATTAAATGTGAAAATTGAAGAACAGGACATTGTAAGCATCCAGCGAATGGGTCCACTGCGAGGTTATATAGAAAGAGAAGGCGCTGTTCAGCCACGACCACTTGCTGTGCGCTTGGCGCGCCGAATGCTGCGCGACCGTCTGTTACAAAGCGCGCGTGTCCGTCGCGGTGCCGATACTACAGGTTTTGGCCTGCCGGGTTCGCCGAAGAAGTTCTATATAAATGAGCGTCTTACCCGTATAAATCGCCAGTTATTCTTCAAGGCCCGTCAAATGGGCTCTAAGAGCGGTTGGAAATATGTGTGGACACGAGACGGTCGCATTTACGCGCGACGTGATCAGAACACGGAGGCACGCAGAATAAGATGTGAAATCGATCTTGTAAAGTTTTTTGGCGAACCGGTGGTTGGCTAAACTTGGAGCTTTTGCTTTTCTGTTGTTTTTTTAACTGTTTGCTGAACCTATTTTTTAAACTATTGGTGCTTGCATATTTAACAAAATTTTTGAAAATGATTTTTAGATTAATATGTCTATGCCCTACTCGTTTTGTCATGTATCCGCTTATGTCGTTTAATAATACTGTACTACACTTTTTAACATTATTGAACAAATTATTTGTAAGTGCTGTGACGCTGATGATACATAATGCATATTATTATGTATATACGTATATTATACATGTTATACGTTTTATATTTTCCGGTTTAAAATGCTCTCTTTATTTTTGCCCATATTTTATAATATTCTATATTATCATAATAACTTATGTCATAAACAACTATTTAATTTATTATATAACACCAATATTCAATTACACCAACTATATAAATTATGATATTCAACTTTTCAGAAAAATATTAGATAACACGAAATTTGATTTGTTATACGGTTATAGCTATAGCTACGGTGCTGCCCTATTTGTGTATATGTGTGTATGTGAGTATGTTTGTATAAGTATGCGTACGTATGTTTATATGCATATACTGAAGTTGCTCGTGTCCCTGTGTTCAGATATATATTATACTCTCTGTGCGAAATGGCGCCTAAAAATCAAAAGCTGAAGGTTGGTTTTTTAAATCCGGGTTCTTTGGGTACAAGGCATGAAGACTTCATTGTGGCAATGGTGCAGCATGATGTAGATATCATGGCTATAAACGAGACCTGGCTACGTGATGGAGAACAAGGTCGCGCGCCATCTATCCCCGGTTACCGCTTGCGTCATATTCCACGTTTAAGTACCACGCGCGCACGTGGTGGTGGGGTTGGATTCTATGTACGTCATGGACTCGCCGTAAAAACGTGTGTATTTCCTGCCGCAACATCAGTTGAACAAATGTAGCTTAATTTAACTGTTAACGGCATAAATCTGATAATAGGTACTGCTTATAGACCACCATGGCTTGACGTAGACATTTTTTTTGACGCACTTACTGATTCAGTATCATCTTTTGCCCATCGCGATAATATTGTGCTCTTGGGTGACTTTAATATAAATTTACTGGTAACTGACAACAATACTCATAAATTTGACAATTTTACAAAATACCTAAATTTAACCCAATATGTAAATGAACCTACACACTTTACTCCTTACAGTGCTACATTAATTGATTTAATATGCACCGACCTACCAATCTCTAACGTAACCGTCGATTACATACCAACTCTAAGTAATCATGCTTTCTTAACATGTAACTTTAAAATCAATAAGCCAAAATGTCAACCAATTCAGTTCATGTATCGCCCAGTGAAAGACATAAATCGTGATAGTTTTAATTTCGAAATAGAAAGTATCGACTGGGATTCTATAGCCCAATTACCTCATGTAAATGATATGGTTTCTCAATTCAATTTAACATTGTTAAGCCTGTTTGACCAATTCGCGCCACTAAAGCTCAAGCAAGTAAAAGAGCGTACATATCCATGGATTACCTTTACTATTCGAGAAATGATAAAACTGCGGAATGAAGCACATAATCGTTTTCGCTTAACTAGATTAGAGAAGCATAAAAGTTATTACAAAGAACTTAAGCATGCTGTAAACTCAGCGTTATACCGCGAAAAACAGGCCTATTTTAATCAACATATAAACCACAATTTAACCAATTCTAAAGCTCTTTGGATCAATCTTAAACGGACAATAAACATATCAGAAAAATCTAGAGACTATGTAATTCCTGACCAACTCAACGATCCGGATTTGATTAATTCTCACTTTTGCAATATACCTGGAAATGATTCAGCACACGATTCAGAACATGTTTTCTTTGGCTCCCATCGATTTTGTTCTTCAACATTTAAGTTAAGTGTTACAGACGAAAACACAATAGCCAAAATAATTAATTCACTTAAGTCAAACGCTTTGGGCGCTGACGGCATATGCTTGGATATGGTTGTTTTAACACTTCCTTACACACTAAAAGTAATCACCGCGATAGTTAACAGATCGATAACCACGTCTTATTTCCCTGACGTCTGGAAAACCGCTTTGGTTACACCAATTCCAAAAACCAATAGCATTATAAATTTCAAAGACCTGCGCCCTATTAGCATCCTACCCTGCTTGTCGAAAATACTGGAAAGAGTAGTATGTACACAGCTTGAAGCGTACTTGGAGAGTAATCACATACTACCAAAACTGCAGTCTGGTTTTAGAAAGCATCATAGCACGACAACAGCACTATTAGACGTAGTGGACAATATTTTAGCATCTCAAGATATAGGTGAAGGAACAATCATGACACTACTTGATTTCTCACGAGCTTTCGAGTCTCTTAACATCGAATTATTATTGTCCAAGCTTTCCTATTATGGATTCGATCCAACCGCAATCAAGTGGTTCTCCAGTTATCTAAATGATCGCATGCAGTTGGTTAAAATAATCAAAAAAGATGGTACACATACTCAATCAAGTCCTTGTCCTGTAACGAGAGGAGTTCCACAAGGATCCATACTAGGCCCTCTTTTATTCATACTGTATATAGCAGATATTAGTACAGCTATTCGGAACTGTAAATATCATATGTATGCAGACGATTTGCAGGTATATCTTTCCTTTGTACCAAGTCAAACTAACTGGGCTGTTAATAACTTAAATAGAGATCTAACGAAAATCGCCCAGTGGTCAGAAGCCAACACTCTTGTACTCAATCCAGCAAAATCAAAATACATAGTATTGGGATCAAAGCGACAGATAAATCGAATAGTTGCAAATAATCCTGATGTTTGTGTCCTCGGGGAGAAGATAAATCGTGTGACTGAAGCTAAGAATCTGGGATTGCTTATGGATGACGCGCTTCGCTTTGAGAGACACGTGATCGAGATCGCACGTAATTGCTTTTACAGACTAAAAGTATTATACCGAATACGTGACTTTTTGAGTGAAGATCTGCGCATTAAGCTTTGCAACTCCCCTTGTACTCTCCAGGCTAAACTATGCCGATACGGTATATGGACCAAGGCTACTTTCGAAAACTGACCGAATAATTCAGAGGATCCAAAATGCTTGTGCCAGGTATATACACCACATTCCCCCACAAACGCACGTCAGTCCCTATTTAAATAAATCAAAGTTATTAAGAATGTCCCAATTAAGAGAACTACATTTAGCAACACTAATGTTCGGTGTCTTTCAAAACAAAAAGCCCGGGTATCTATTAGAAAAACTAAAATGGCGCAAGGACGGTAATTTTAAGGACATTCGAACAAAATCAAATGTCCTTTTAATACCAAAACACACAACGGCAGCATTCCGTGGTAGTTTCCGATATGCAGCTACTAAATGCTGGAACAACTTGCCCCCACCTATCCGCCAACTAAATACCATCAGCCTTTTCAAGGTAAAAGTAAAAGAATATTTTTGTCACGTTAACATTTAGGGCGGATAAAATAGCTGCATTATATTATATTTTCATAGTATAATATAAATATCTATATTGTTTTATTATAAATTCTCATTATATTATTTATTATATATATTTATATGTACCTACTGCATAAATAAAGTTCCCATCCTTTTTCATTTTCATTACCATTATTTTATTTTATTATTTTGATAACATCTTTCTCGAAAATAGAAATAAAGCGAACATACTATTCCTCGCAGGCGAGTCCAACCTCAATGGGCATTGCTGAAAACCAACGCTACCGCAATCCTGCGATAGCATTATGTTGAGTCAGTGCCCTTTTCAGCATCACATCACTCATGCAATTGGATCATTTTATGACTGTTTTTTGTTATTTACTTTTATCTTTGATGTTTTTATGTATTATTTTATTTTCTGTATCAAAACTGTATGAATGTAAGTTGCTGAATAAATGCATGTCTATGTCTATGTCTATGTCTATGATGATGGTTTATGATTTGGTATTGTTACCAATAATCATGTCCCCTCTGTGGGGGTTTTTGAGCTTTCTAACCGTGGTTCGAGTGGGGGAGTGTGGACTCCAGCCTCTGGTTGCTCAGCTCGAGTTGGTCAAAGCGAGTTCTGTCATAAGAGAAGAAAGAGGGAGATACAGCAACAAAACGTTAGTAAACATCAAAAAGCAGGAGATGGCTGAAAAATAATTGAAATAGCTTGATTGGTACTTTTTAACCGACTTCAAAAAAAGAAGGCACTCGACCTAATTCATTTTATGTGTGTTATTGCAAAACTTTATTTTAAGTAAACCGATTTCGATGATTATTTTTTACTTAAAATCTGGTGCTTTTCATGTAAATATAAATAACATATAAATTATGCCCATATAAATTTGACTAAGATCTGACCAGTTGTTTTGGAGTTATCCTTAATAATGAGTAATTGACTTCGAGTACTTTGATGATGTTCTCATTTTATTTATATTGAAGTCGGTTGCACAACATTTTTAATTATACCCCTTTTTACTCGACTGCTTCGGAAAAAGGGTATTGTTTTTCGATTATATTTACGTTACTATCTAATGTATATAATAAATTATGGAGTAATGATAAATATACTTTATTTTATTTATTTTTTTGTAAATAAATAAAGCAAATTTGGCGGTTTAAGTTATTCGGAGGTCGGTTCCATAGGATGATCTACCCTATATCATCCCGTGGGTGTCGTAAGAGGCGACAGAGGGAACCAAATCAGGAGATTGTCAGCAGCGTCTTCCTAATAACGACTAAAAATAAAAACTGCAGTTGCCAACCGCTTGCCAAGCGTGGCAACTATGGCAAATATCCCCCCTATGAGGAAATCTATGGGGGAGGCGTATGTTCAGCAGTGGACTTTAATAGGCTGTAACGGTAACGGTATTAAATATGTTTTAATGATTTTGTGAGTAATTTCTGGCACAGTTAATTTGACTTTTCCAGGAGAGTTCGGTTGCATAGACGAGATCCTCTCCATAGTTGCGATGATGCAAGTGGACAGCGTGTTCGTGAAGCAAACAAGCGGGAAAGGGAATGTTGCGGCTAAGGTGTCCCGCAGGAACAACTTTGAGGTACACTTCACCTGCTTTGAGATCCAGAAGGGAACCCCAATGATCCAGATCGATGTCGTACTGTATGGTTGTCGCACGGATGGGTTGGCCCGACCGGGGAAGGACCACGCTCTCACAGAATACCAGTGCGAAATAGCAGCTTAATTCTGCTGTGTTTTGTTTGGGGAGTGTAGAGAACCGGAGACCCTTTTTTATTGGAAACTAGGCATTCCATCTTAGTGCTTGAGGTAACAAAAAAGTTCACACATTAACATTGTATGTGTGAACTTCTATGTATGAACCTTCCGTTGCAGGTGACCATGGGCATCAAAAGTCATCATCATATATTTTTTATAGTATATGCGTGACAACAAGGACACAGTCTACCTGGTAAGTGGATGCTGTGGCCCATAGCATCTACAGTTAATGGATGCCATACATGATCCAGTTTACCGTCAAGTTTGCAGCGCGCTTGAAGCGGCGTCCGGTAAACTTGACGCTGTATGGCTATCAGTGTGCATGACATGTCTACTTGAAGCAAAAATTAAATTTCGATACTGTCGACTTGATCAAGCTTGCAGCGTCATGTAAACTTGAACGTGTGTATAAGCGATCAAGTATGCATGACGTTAGTCGGAGCAATAAGCGGGAGACGCCACGGTTTCAACTGGTGCGGCATCATGCATTCTTGACGCCGAACGTGAGTGGGTTATATTGGTGTACTGCAAATTTGACACCGCTTTAAGCGCGCTGCATACTTGACGGTAAACTGGATCGTGTATGACATCTATTACGCCATCTATCGTATATATTAAAATAACTGACAATAACTCGGCAAACCGCTATTCTATTGAATTTTAAATAGTTTTAGTAATGTTGTATTAGTGCCATCTAGTGGCTATAAGCAAATAATTATATTTATTTTGACCAAAGCACCATCTGTTGAAATTATGAAGTAACTTACAGGTCATACAAAGATGAAGGAACTATAGACGATAAAAGATAGCTTGATCTCTGCGACATATGTCAAACTGACATTCCTAGGGTTGTCAGGATATAAAAATTTTTTGATAGAAATTATCGATGTTTCTTACTATTATCGATGCTAATGTATCATATAATAATTGGGATTAATTTAATTACAAACGTTACTAAATTAAACGAATATTTTTAATATAAAATGCATTTATTCTCTTAAAGGAGTACACCCCAAATCCATATCTGAATCAGTTTCTGAATCGCTAGAATAATCTTGTAAATTTATTATAAACTCTTGTTCGCAAATATTATCAAATCGGACGTCCCGCTCCCAATCTTCTTCCATTAGTTTTCTGCATTTGGTTACCACCTTATTCCAGTCTTCTGCAGATACATTGTCGACCGCACTTTTTAATAACTGCAACATTTTATTTGCCGTGAAAGGCGGTGTTGTGTTGTATCTGGCAGCGTAACCTTATAACATATTTTTAATAAGAATAATTAAACAGTAGTTAATAATTAAAGTACCTATCTAACTGAAATTCAAGCAAATAAACCTTTGACTTGGGCCCAGATAAGCTCGATCGGATTATACTGGCAGTGGTACGGGGGTAGTCTTATGACGGTATGACCCTTTTCGTGGGCTATATCATCTAAGACATACGTTGGAGTTCTAGGTTTGTGCAGACCAACGAGTCTTAATAATTCATTTTTAAGCATAGTTTCATTGGCCTCTATTCCTTTTTCTTGAAGCCATGCAATGATTTCAAATTTTCTGTTTGCCGAAGTTGGTGGTTTGTGCTTTTGGACCGAGTGATATGGAGCGTTATCCATAATAATGCAATGTTAAAATTGCTCCTTTGAATTATCTAATAATGTTAAAAACAACTCCTTTTTTTAAATTCATTTCCTCGTGGTATTCAGTAGTTTTAGTTGATTTGAATGCCAGCATGAGTGATGATTAATCTTTGACCTTTGCCTTCCGGTACTTTGGTGGTTGATTGTGCAGTATCATTGGTCCAAGCTTTGGATAAGGTATGATTGGCATTTAGCCATGTCTCGTCTAGAAACACTACTTTGTCCCAATTTGTGATTTTTTTGACTTTTCGGAGAAAATTCACTCGAACAAGAGCAGGGTTTTTCTTTGTCACTTTTTTATAGAAAAAAAACCAATATTTTTCAATATCTTCGTTAGAGATGGCAAGCTTCCTTTGAACAAGTCTGCGTCTGAGGGACGCGGCAAGTTTTTTCAATGTAGGCAATTCGCCCCGTGTATAGTAACATACTAATCTCACATGGTTACGAATCGCTGCAGCGTCAAAGTTCTCAATGTTTGTTACAGGAGCAGCCTTTTTCCTTTTTTATTTGGTGTTGCAAGTTTTTGTCCTCGTCTTCAGTCAATGCTGCGGTTGAAGATTCGCCGTACTTTTCTTTGCTGATGCGAATTACTGTCGCATGTCCAATGCCAAGAGCATCTGTAACTCGTATCACATACGTTCTCCATGGGTAATAGTGGCCCGCCATTTTGGTTCTCTCGCTCAAAATATTCACGTAAGCGAATCACAAACTCACGACTTTGACTGTTAAAAACGGTTTTCTTCGTTCTCTTTGGCATTATGCCAACAAGAAACTAAAAATAATAACAAAACTCAACAAATTAACAACAATAACAGCAATAGTAACAAAAACAAAGTAATGAGAACGGAAATCACGTAGCGTATACAAGGCGTCGGCACTAATTAGGTCGGCATGCCCATAAAGTATGACATTGACAGGTACTGTCTGTCTGTACTACTAAGAAATTCAGGACTTCGTAGGCGTGATTTTATTGACAGCTGTCGCAGAGATCAAGCTATCTTTTATGAACCATAATACTGTCACTTGCAGAATTCAAACCCGCAGCCCTTTGCACCGTAATTCATTGCTGAGCCACTGCGCCACGTAGCCGTTAAATGTTATGTTAATAAGTTTCTATACACAAATATAAAACCGAAATATTATAATAAAAGAGCCGGTTCAAACTTATATGAAGCGTAGGCCTAGTTTTGTACTGGTAGGGAAATAAAAAAAAACAAAATATTAAACCACTTTTGATCATTCAATTTTACGAATTTGCTTTTATTTCATTAGTATTAATATTTTATTCTCACCATGAAATGCAACACTAATGGCGCGTAGATGTCGTTTTGACACTAGCTGTCAACTATGATGAGGTTATTGATCCATATAATACAGATGATTGTTTGTTTTGTTTATCACTAAACCAAAACCAAATCGCCAAAGCAACCCACCACAAACAAAATAAACTCATTCACGTGTTCACAGCTACCTCCATTATTTCATGACTCGAGTCACTTGTCAGACATTGACATTCGATAAATAACCGTGTCCTTTTTGTGACTGGAGGGGTGCCATCTTGTAAAATCATTAAAAACTTGGGATTACATTTTTATTTTAGCAAGTTATTTAGTTTGTATTATTCTCTTATTTTATTTTTAATAAAATTCCTGTAGTTCTCGCTTTTTAATCGTAGAGTGTACTTAGATTTGGCCTGATATGGACCTCCTTATTCTACATCGAACGCACGAAACATTAGCTTAATACTTTCGCATGGTGAGTGTCGAGAATCGGAGAAGCTTGTCTCTGGTTACGACGCATTCCATCTTAGTCCTCAAGGATGACAACTCGTCTGCATGTTGATTTTCAATCGAGGACAGATATCTATGGGCCACAGCATTCACTTACGATCAGGTGGATTGTGTACTCGTTAGTTACTATAAAAAGACGTACGACTTTTGACTCTGAGATGAGAGAAAAGTCTATCAAAAATGTCGGAAGATAAAATTATTAAATGTTTTCATCATATTTTCTTCCACAGGTCGCCGAGGGTGACATATTGATGTATTTGAACATATTCGACGCTTATTTAAAAGTGAAATCGTCACAAGATGAAAAAAGATCTAAAAAGGCGTGCAAAGACTGGTGTCAGAAGATGTATATAAATTATAGAGTTATGGAGAAGGTATTTATTTATTACTTCATTATTATGATCGATTTACACTTCGACAAGCACAGTAGCGAGTTCAGTTACAGGGCAGTTGACAGTAAACGGTTAAGTGGGCAGTAGCGTTCAAACAATGTCTCCGTGGCGAGTTTAGTTAAGGACATTAGTTCATAGAGTTCGTTGGAGTATGACGTTTCAAGACTACAGAATTTTTCTAGTTTTCGTTTAAGATGGTTCTAGGATTACGTCAATAATTAAATGATACAGTCAGAGGAGTATTAATGGTTGTTGTTAAAGAAGTTTTTAAGAATATTCATGAGTGCAGCATCTCGAGCAGGTTTAATTTTACAATTTGAACTTCTACTATTATATAAAGATTCGTGTTCTAAATACTTCTGTGCGTACAAACGCTGCGTCCTGTCAACTTATGCACTGAACTAAACTCGCCCGTTTACACAAACGGCGAGTTTAGTTGCGGGTGGCGGGAGACGCGCGGGAGGGCAGCACTTCGCACTTAACTCGCCGAAAAATAGATCCGCCCGCTTACCCCTTTCAACTTAAACGTTAACTTGCTACTTAACTCGCTTATTGCCGTTCAAACGAGGTTCAAACTTAACTCGCCAGTTCGCAAGTTAACTCGCTACTGTACTTGTCGAAGTGTAAATCGGTCTTTAGGCGGATCTGTGTATATTCTCTACTCAGTCGACCTTAGGGTAACAACAAAATTATAAGCGCGTTGTCTAACTTGGGTATGCACACGGTGCAGTTGAGTTACATTTTGTTGCATATTCATCATCATCATCATCATTACGGCGCTTCACAAGTCCACTGCTGAACACAGGCCTCCCCCAAGGAATGCCACAAAGCACGGCCCTGAACCGCCTGCATCCATCGACATCCTGCATGTCCTACCAGGTCGTCACTCCGACTAGTGGAGGGAGGGGGGGGGGTCGCCCTACACTACGCCTACCGGTACCAGGCTGCCACTCGAGAACCTTTTCTCCCATCGGTTATCGGTTCTTCGAGCTATATGGCCGGCCCATTGCCACTTCAGCTTACTAATCCGTTGGGCTATGTCGGTTACTCTGGTTCTACTGCGGATATCCTCATTTCTAAGTTTATCACGCAGAGAAACCCCGAGCATAGCCCTCTCCATAGCTCGCTGAGCGACCTTGAGCTTTTTCATACGCCCAGCAGTACCACATTTCAGATCCATACGTCATCATTGGTAATTTGTTGCATATAAGTTTAACAAAATTACTATATGATATTAAAACGCTTTTGAACAGCGTTACGGATGTTAACGGTGTTGTTCTATCAATATATACTCAATTAATAGATTTCTTATAAAATCAGTGTAGATTTGTGTACAGCTGCCCATAGAACCTGTGGGTCAGCCATATAGCTCGAAGAACCGACAATTGATGTTGTCACCGACAATTATTTCTTAATAGTATGCAAATAATCCTTTTAGGGCAAAAAAGGTTCTCGAGTGGCAGCCTCGTACTGGTAGGCGTAGTGTAGGGCGACCCCCCACTAGATGGAGTGACGACTTGGTAAGATACGCAGGAAGTAGATGGATGCAGGTGGCTTAGAACTGTGCTTTGTTGCTTGGGAGAGGCTTGTGTTAAACAGTGGACTTGTGAAGAGCGGTTAATGATGATGATGATGAATTCTTTTAGCTTAATAGAAAATAGTTATTGTGTAATTAATAGAATCAGGCGTTACTTTGCGGAAGTCCATTGTATTAAAGTTGTTAAAAATTAATTCGCACACATCCGCGCAATAAAATCAAATGATGTGTCTTACCTAGTTTGAAGAGCATCTCCCGCCCTCCCTCAATTGCGTGCACTAATCCCGTCACCACCAATCCCAGCACCACTACTCTTAACACCACTACTCTAGGAAAGACACACCATCGACGTTCGACGATAATACGACACGTGTTTCGCTTCTACACGAAGCATCCTCAGGTGAAGTTCTTTTTTTTTTTTTTTTTTTTTTATAGAAGAGGGGGCAAACGAGCATGTGGCTCACCTGATGTTAAGTGACTACCGCCGCCCATGATCAACCGCAACACCAGGGGAATTGCAGGTGCGTTGCCGGCCCTTTAGAAAGGAGTAAGCTCTTTTCTTGAAGGTCCCCAGGTCGTGTCGGTCCGGAAAAATCACCGGTGGTAAATTATTCCACAGAGAGGTTGTACGCGGAAGAAAACTCCTTTTGAAACGTACAGTGGTGGACCGCCAAGCATCCAGATGGTGTGGATGGTATCGGGACGTTTGCCGTGTAGTGCGTTCACGAAATTTGGCGGCTGGGATTAATCCGAACAATTCCTCAGAGCACTCCCCGTGATAGATGCGATAAAATACGCAAAGAGATGCAACATCTCTTCGCAGCGCCAGTGAATCGAGCCGATCGGAAAGCACTCGGTCGTCGACGATTCGAGCCGCTCTGCGCTGGATGCGGTCAAGTGGAAGGAGCTGGTACTGGGGAGCCCCAGCCCAGAGATGGGAACAGTATTCCATGAGCGGCCGAACCTGCGCCTTGTAAAGTTGCAGGCGGTGTGCCGGCATGAAATACTGTCCCGCTCTGCTGAGCACGCCAAGCTTTTTTAGAGGCCAATTTGGCCTTCCCTTCCAAGTGACCACGAAACTGCACGTCACTCGATATGTCGACGCCGAGGATTCCGATACTGGCTGAGGCAACAAGGGGAGTGCCTTGAAACTGAGGGGATACGACAAAGGGGTTCTTTTTAGCGGTTAACGCGCAAACTTGTGTCTTCTGGGGGTTAAACTGGACTAGATTTAGTCGCCCCCCAATCCGAGACTCTGTCCAGCAGAGACTCGACTTCAGACACAAGTTTGTCCCGGCACTCAGAGACGTTTTCCCGAGAAATATTTGCTCGGCCGGTGTAAAGAGCATCACCAGTGCTGTCATCTGCATAGCAATGAATGCTACGGGTTTGCAACATATCATTGATATGCAGAAGAAACAGCGTTGGCGATAGCACGCAGCCCTGTGGAACACCAGCATTAATAAGCTTGCAATCGGAGCTTGCACCGTCTACAACGACCTTGATGCTCCGATCTGCAAGAAAACTGGTGATCCAATCGCACAATTTCTCGGGAAGCCCATAGGAAGGGAGCTTCGAAAGAAGCGCTTTGTGCCAAACCCGATCGAAGGCCTTCGCAATGTCCAAACTAACGGCCAATGCCTCCCCCTTGGACTCTACTGCCTCCGCCCATCTGTGAGTTAGGTAGACCAGAAGATCACCAGCTGACCTACCACGGCGAAAACCGTATTGGCGGTCACTAATCAGCTGGTGATCCTCAAGGTACCTCATGAGCTGGCAGTTTACAATGGACTCCATTGTTTTGGAGAACAAGGAGGTGATGGCGATAGGCCGGTAGTTGGACGGGTCTGAGCGGTCGCCTTTTTTAGGGATCGGGTGGACGAAAGCCGTCTTCCATGATTTTGGGACTACGCCTAGGGAGTAGGAGTACCGGAAAAGACGCGTTAAAACCGGTGCCAACTCTGGAGCACACGTCCTCAGCACAATTGGGGGGATTCCATCAGGCCCACTCGACTTATGGATGTCCAGGGAGAGGAGTGCTTTGCGAACCGAGCGCTGAGTGAAGTGCACTTCCGGCATGGAGCACTCACACCGCGGGATGGTCGGCGGCGTACTCCCCGTCATCGAGAGTCGAGTTAGACGCAAAGAAAGAGCCTAGAAGATCGGCTTTCTCCTTTGCGGTGTGGGCCAGTGAGTCGTCCTCCCTGTGCAGAGATGGAAGAGATGGCTGACAGAAATTCCCCCTGGACAGCCTTGGCGAGAGACCAGAATGCACGGGTTCCAGAAGGAAGACGAACTAGTCTCTCGCCAATTCTGCCTATGTGCTCTGACTTTGCCTTGGCAATGACTCTTTTGAAGGACCTAGAGGCGGAATTATACTTCTTTTTTAGAGCGCTGGTGTTTACATCCCTGGACGCTGATGCGTCAGCCCAGGCTTGGTAGCACTCCTGCTTATAGCATGATGCTATTTTACAGGAGCGACCAAACCATGGCTGAGATTTGCCTCCAATGGGCACCACAGAGGAAGGAATAAAAAGTTCCATACCCTGAAGTACCACATCAGCGACAGAATCCGCAACAACGTTGGGATCATCCGGCGAGAAGCAAACCCGCCCCCAAGGGTAGGATGCAAAGAAAGACCGCATCCCATCCCAATCAGCTGACCTATAGTGCCAAACACGGCGGCAGCCTGCAGAATGCAACCGCGATTTCAGCGTGAGTGGCACCACACTCCGGACAAGACAATGATCCGAGGAGCCTAAAGGGGCGTCGACGGAAATCTGATATCCGTCCGGGTGAGAGGTCAGCAGAAGGTCCAACAGGGAAGGTGCATGATCCTCCACATCTGGAATCCGCGTAGGCGAAGTAACCAGTTGTGTCAGACCACATGCCAAGGCAAAATCACGAACAGATCTCCCCGCATGATCGGTTAAACGTGAACCGAGCCATTCGGCGTGATGGGCGTTGAAGTCGCCGAGGATCACGACCTCTGCGGAGGGGATCTGCTGTAGCAACGAATCTGCAGCCATTTGGACGTGGTCGAAGAGTCGGTCTGTTTCGGCATTACCGCTATGGGACCTATAGAGGCACCCGTAGACGCGCGGATGGTCGTCGCTGTCTACGCGTAGCCAAAGGATGGACAGGTCCGAACCTTCAAGTCTGCCGAGGCGTCGAGAACAGATGTCCTCTCTGACGTAAACGCAAACTCCAGCCCGAGGCACAAAGGAGTGTTCCAGTTTGTACCCCGGGCAGGAGAGATACGAGACATCAGCCGGAGAGGACACCTGCGTCTCGGTCAGAAAGAGCAGAGCCGGCCTCGCCGTCTCGAGATGGTAGTGGACGGCGTTTAGGTTAGAGTGAAGTCCCCTGATATTGCAGAAATTCACGGACAGCGTGGCAGGGGTCGCCTTGGTCTTGTTGCTCCGTTTGCCCCGAGCAGTTTTAGTCTTGAGCGGAATATTGCCCCCCCCCAGAATACGCGGGGCAGCCTGAGCACCCACGCTCAGAAGTGGAGAAACATGGTCGTGGATGCTCAGCGAGGGATTCTCCAGGGGTGCTGGTACCCTCCTGGGGTAGTCTATCATTTAATTCCGCTACCATGTTGATGGGGGGGGGGGGATTTGGGCCTCCGGCCACCTGCACTCACCAGACGAAACGCGGAAGCAGAGCTTCCACTTCACGCCGGTATTCTGTGAGGTCGTGGTACCACCCCGGTTTGAGCCGGCCCATACGTGCGACAGCAAAGCTGCCGCGTGGCTCTACCACTGTAAAAGTTCTTTGCGGTGGCTGACGGCTAAGTTTAACGGTCGTTTGAGGGGCAATTGAGGGAGCGGGAGGTGCTCTTCAAACTAGGTACCTAAAACACACCATTTATTGAGGGGATTTGTGCGAATTAATTTTCAACAACTTTAAAATAGTTATCATAGTTAATTTTTAAGTTTAAAATTTACGTGGTAGAGTCATGCTGGAGCTTTATTAATTGTATAGTTGTAGCACGAATGGGTCGGCTCGCGCTCTCACAGAATACCAGCGTCAAATAGCAGCTTAATGCTGCTGTGTTTCGTATGGTGAGTGTAGAGAACCGAAGACCCTTTTTACTGGAAATGAGGCGTTCATCTTAGTCCTAAAGGCTGACAACGCATCTGCATTTTGATTCGTAATCGAGGATAGATGTAGATGTCTATGGGCCACAGCAACCACTTACCATCAGGTGGACTGTGTGCTCGTTTGTCAACCTTTTCCTATATAAAAAAAAAGTTGTAAAGATAATTATAAGTATTATTGAATTAACATATTAAGGATGTTTACAATAACTCCGGTTTAATTTTTAATTGTATGTCTCTTTCTTTTGCTAAAATTATATTTTTCTGTGTCTTTCAGGCGTGTGAAATAAGACAAAGCTTAGAGAAACTAATTAGAGATAAATTCAAAATCGAAGACAAAGTGTTCGAGGGGCCGGATTTAGGGACAGGTAATATGTGAATTCAGAAACAATTTGTAAAGGCTTTTTGCCAATGAGAAACATTTGTATAATAGAATATTATATAATAATATATTGTACTTCTATTTACTTCAAATAATTATTTATTTATATATTCGTATGGATATTTATATAATATTAAGTTTATAAGCATGTGCAATGTGTATGCATATATGTATGTATATTTAAATATACATTTTGCATATATGTACACTTTATATAAGTAATATGCTATGCACTTGCCAACAAATATGTTTGGAACACACAGTTGACTGGCAGAGAATGCCCGATAGCATATTTCCGCCTTTTGTACCCTAAGCTTTATGATGTAGACCAGGGTCGATAATTTTAGAAACGAAAAAAAATTAAAGTAGGATGAAACCTATTGGAAAAGGAAGGGAATACCACTAAAATGATAGGAAAAATAAATTACGGGCGATCTGAGGTTGGGAAGGGAAGGGGGGGGGGGGAGTTTTTAAGGGTAAAAATCGGTAAATCTCGATTTTCGGCAAAACTACAAGTCCCATCGAAAAAAGTTCAATGGCAAAGTTGTAGATAATAAAAAGATCTACAACTTTTGTATCTATAGTTTTTCTCCATAACCTCAAAATTCATGTGAAAAATCCAAAAAACCACATTTTAGATTTTTTATTTTTATCTTTTTTAAAAAAAATTGTTTTTTTCATGATATTTGGTAAAAACTTACCTGTTTTTGTAAAATATTATGTCCCAAACACACTGGAATTTTGAAGATTTTAAATATTAATTTTTTCACCCTATTTTGACTCGATATCGAAAAAGCACTCTAATTCTCAATCGAAAATTCTCACGTCAAAATATCTGATTTTTCAAAAAAGTCGGTGGGCTTTTTGTTCGTTGATATCTCTATTTTTTGATGGTGTAAAAAATATACTTTACTATTGAAAAAATTTTCAGAAAATGCAAAAAAACGAAAAATACTAAATGAATTTCTTTTTAAATCTTTATGTACAATTTTGAGGTATTCATTAAAATTTTTACTTTAATTACTCGAAAAACGTTAGGTTCCATGTTAGTTTAATAAACAAAAAAATTACAAACCAATTAAACATAGATATCGCAAAAACATAGTTGTAAATATTAAAAATACGATTTAAAGGGGATTTTATTAAAAAAATGTGACTACTGCTATTTTTTTCAGTAATAAAAGTTTATTTATTAAATTTTCGTTACATTTATATATTAGAAAATCTCATTAGATAGAAATATACACGTAAATCGTACTATTGAGTAGAGATATTTTTTAATGATTACATTACACATTATATTATTTTTAAAATCATTAATCTTTGTATTTATCAAAACATAGTATTCAATTCGAATCACTTATTCATCAGTTTCTGTCTTTTTGATGGTATTTCTTCGTTAGATTCAAGGCCTTTCTGATTCTAGTAGATCTTCGACATCTTCAAGACCATCATCGTCTTCGTCTCCAACATTATTTTCGTCTGCATTGGTTCTTCATCCGCAATTTCATCTGAGTCATTAACTTCCTCGTAGATTTTTTTCTCCACATTGGCGCATTGTTCAGAACCATGACAATTCGGCAGCCACATTTTAAACTATTACATCCAGTTTCACAGCTGCAGCAAATAGTTTTCAGCAATTTTTCCGGAATTAATTCCATTTCTGTAAATTTGGGCATAATTCCATGTTGATGTTGCTTCCAGCCCCAATCTGTTGCTGTCAATTCATTACACAGCCACGTCTGAAGCTGATATGCCCTGTAACAATGTTGTTCTGCTGCACCTTCTGTGGGTGGGAGATTTGCCAATATGAAAGATGATTTAATTTTTGCCAATTGATATTTTTGAAATCTTAATTGATTCCGTGTTATATTATCCTTTTTACACTTATAAATAGATTTAATTAATTTCAATCCATTTTTTATATCTTCTTTGTTTACATCTTTTTTTAAAAAAAAATATTAGCCAAATTTGACAAATTTTGATTGTCTAATAATGAATTTAAGATAGTTTTCTTTCCTTTTCCGGTAAATCCGAAGTTCTCTCAGGTATATAGGTATAATTTTAAAATAGCAATAAATAGGCCTCTACTCATATAATTTAAAGAAAATTCGACAAATTTCTCAAAATTTTGTAGATGTCATATTAAATATTAACTTTATTAACTTATTTAGTTGTTAATTATAGCAGTACATTTCGACTTGCAATTTTTTGTTTATTAATCTAACATGGAACCTAACGTTTTTTGAGTAATTAAATAAAAAAAATAATAAAAATTTTAATGAATACCTCAAAATTGTACATAAAGATTTAAAAAAAATCGATTTTTAGTATTTTTCGTTTTTTTTTTGCATTTTATGAAACATTTTTCAATAGTAATGTATATTTTTTTTACACCATCAAAAAATAGAGATATCAACGAACAAAAAGCCCATCGACTTTTTTGAAAAATCAGATATTTTGACGTGAGAATTTTCGATTGAAAATTAGGGTGCTTTTTCGATATCGACTCAAAATAGGGTGAAAAAATTTATATTTAAAATCTTCAAAATTCCAGTGTGTTTGGGACATAAAGAGGTGTAAGTTTTCACCAAATATCATGAAAAAAACAATTTTTTTGTAAAAGATAAAAATAAAAAATCAAAAATGTGGTTTTTTGGATTATTCACATGAATTTTGAGGTTTTTTCATTATCTTTATCTTTTTATTATCTACAACTTTGCCGTTGAACTTTTTTCGATAGGACTTGTAGTTTTGCCGGAAATCGAGATTTACCGATTTTTACCCTTAAAAACGCCCCCCCCCCCTCTACCCCTTCCCAACCTCAGATCGCCCGTAATTTATTTTTCCTATCATTTTGGTTGTATTCCCTTCCTTTTCCAATAGGTTTCATCCTACTTTAATTTTTTTTCGTTTTTAATTATTTTTAGCGGCTTGGACCCTGGTCTAATGTTACATTAAAGCTTTTTAAATACATAAAACAACAGAGTCAGTCACAAGAACAAAAGTGAAAACTCAAAACATTGCAATAACTGTGTTCTTTTTTGAATTTTTACTCCAATTATAGTCTGAATTATATAAAATTTATAATTTGTAAAGTGAAATTATTAACATTAGTCTGGTTTTCACATCTCCGAGCAATCATTATATACACTTCACAAGCTCAATACAAAATATTGATATCTATACGTATTACACAGGCCGTTATACTACTCGTCGCTAGTCTGGCGCAAGAGCTGCACCATGTTCGCGAATAATTTGTATAAATCGTATCGGAAAAAAATAGATAATTGCGGAATCATTAGAAACGTTTGTAATCTCAAGCAAAAAAATTGTCAGTTTATAACTTTATTTATAAAAATTCAAATACTTTTTACGCCGCGGAAAAGTAGAAAAATACGTTTTCCTTGTAAGATATTGATCTGAGAACATTGAAACTACTGCGAATATTCGTTAATTTGTAAATTATAACCTTCACTACTTCGGGACTTACGAGGGCTGCACTAAAAGTATCGGGAATGGAATATTTCCACTGTTCCTGTCATATTAAAATCTTTTTAATTGAAAACTCCTTGGTTTTAAAAATCGAATACCATTTATTTATTTAAAAAAAGATTCTCGGTCTTGTCACAAGGTTTTGTCAAACTTGTTTAGTCGTTGAGAAAATGGAATTGACTCGAGAAAATTCAAGAGCGATGATTTATTATGACTTTCGAAGTGGTCTAACACAAAAAGAGTGTTTGACCGGATGATTTCTGCATTTGGTTTCATCACCAAATGCAGAAATCATCCGGTCAACACACCCAAAGCCCATCCAAAACCACAATTTATCGCTGGTTTCCTGAATTTCAACGTGGACGTGTCAAGCTCAGTGATGATCCCCTTCAAGGTTGTCCAAAAACTGCAGTCACCCAAGAAAACTTTGATGCTGTGCGTAAGCTGATTGAGGAAGATCGACATGTGACATACCGCGAAATTCAGGCAACTTTAGACATTGGCATGAGTCAAATACAAATAATCTTGCATGAACAATTAGGTGTAAAAAAGTTGTTTTCCCGATGGATACCGCATTCGCTCTGTGAAGAGCAAAAAGCGGCTCGCGTTACTTGGTGCGTCAGAACTCTCGAAAGATTCCACGCAGGATCCTCAAATGCTGTATACAACATCTTATCAGGTGACGAATCCTGGATATACGCGTACGAACCCGAAACAAAAAAAACCAGTCACGAGTTTGGGTGTTCGAAAATGAGTTAAAGCCAACAATTTTTTTACTTGAGATTACAAATGTTTCTAATGATTCCGCAATTATCAAATTTTTTTCCGATACGATCTATACAAATTATTCGCGAACATGGTGCAGCTTGGCGCAAGCGCAATACGTTATGAGTATACCGAGGTCATCGGTGACGCGAACCCATAGGTTTTTCCCCTACCAAAAATCGCTCAACGCGGCTAAAGAAGTTTTAACTTTAAAAATAAAAATAAATGAGGCTGACAAGCGAGCATACGGTCTACCTGATGGCAAGTGGATGCTGTGGCCCTCAAAAATCAAAAATAATCAAAATGCAGAAACGTTGTCAACCCTGAAGACTAAGATGGAACGCCTCGTTAACAACAAAAATGGTCCCTGGTTCTCTACACTCACTCGCTAATTAACGCTGCTATCCTATTTTGATCCTCGTGTAGTGGCAGCGTTGGGTTGGCGTTGAATCCACCAGGTTATTCCGTTTATCCCCTAGGATGGATACTCGAAAACGCATGTCCATTTATACGTACCCCGGAAGGGGTGGATATCCGAAATTCCTATATTATTTTTCTTCCGATTTTCTCCCTCGCCTGTGTACAGTCGTTTACAGAAACATGATGCCTGTTTGAAATTTTTTTTTGAATAATGGTGATAATATGATGGCGTTAGTGAAATACTATGAAAAGACATGGGCTCAAGAACGAAAATTATGTGGCTATTTGGAATTCATTCTTAGTGCCTCACAGAAGTACTACAAATTCATTAGAATTCTAGCATGAAACTATTTCAAATGAAGTTAATGAAGATATTAATAGTTACTTTGCAACCATCCGCTCAATAAACTAACTGAATAAATTAACTACTAATATCTTTATTATAACGGAGTTCCGAAAAGTAACTCGTGATTCTATTAATTATCAAATGAAGTTAACGACAAACATCCAAATTAAGTAAAACTTTTGGATTGCTTAAAAAAACGCCTAGTTTTTTGATAACGCATCTAGTAGTAACAAAGAAATTTAGAAAACGATTGCAAATGAAACATATAAAAACATGAAAAGAGACTAATTTATACAGAATATACAATTAAGTCTACTCAATAATGAAATTAGTGTTGGTTCTTTCCTGGCCATATTGCAGAATTTCTAAATTATGTATTATTATTTAAAACAAGGAAGTTTAATTTGGTTTAAATTCAATACGTAATATTTCTTTTTTGTTTAAGTTTGTGTTTATTAAAAATTAATTAATAATATGTTTAAGTATGAATATATTTTTGGTGAACTGTACTTGGAGTAAAAAGGCCAAACAATAATCAAAAAGTGAATTTCGATTATCCACTCCGTCTAGAATGAATAAACGAACACGTGTTTCCGAGTATCGAACCCAGTGTGGATTTCTTAGGGTGTATAAATGGAATAACCCAATCCACTAACATATAACATCAATAACTACACCCACGGTAGTAAGAGGCGGCAGAGGGAAACTGAAGCACGGTATGGGCAGCAGCACCTTCCTGATAACAGTTCAAAATAATAAAAAAACAGCGATAGTCAACACCAACCAAAACATTCACCTTATGATGCAATATATGGGGGAGGCCTATCACCAGTGAACTCTTGATGTACTGTTCTGAATGTACCCTATTTAAATTATGTATTTCATTTATTCGTAGGTAAATGTCAGAGGATAATGAAATGCGTGCTCTCGGGATTGTTCCCACAAGCGGCGTATCTAAGCACGGCCTCGTACAGGGGGATCCGCGGGGCGGAGTTGTATATAAGTCCCGACAGCTGCTTGTATCACGTACAACAGCCTAAATGGTGAGGAATTTTTCGTTTTGGTTTCCTAATGGTCGAAATTCGACCGCAATTCATTAAATTTTTAAATTTGTGTTAAATCAAACTATATTTCACTCTCAAATAAGCCACTCGGTCCAATAATTAACGTGTGCGAAAAACAGAGAATGGCATTGCGCGCTCAGTCTCACTTGGGTATAGTGCAGCGCAACGCACGTTTCGATAACTTTCTATTAAGCATCGTTGATCGTCCAGGAATCTCACACCAAGAGATAACTAGTTAATTGAAAGTGTCCCGTGTAATAGACGCTTTTAATCTTAGCTTTAGCTTTTAGACGTTATATAATTTGAGAAAAGGGTATATAATAAAACGTTAAGGATAAGTATATCCATTTATCTTTAATATCCGTATCTATTGGAAACCTGGAATAATAGTTTTGTATAAAATAAACAGATGTATAAATAAATTGAATACAACATTATACAAACAGCAAACAAATATGTATGGGTGACATATTTATCGTTTTTTTTATTAGTTTTAAAGATCTGTGACTGACTTTCTGTTGTTGTCATTTTTCAGTTACCCGGCTTCTTACAGATCGAATATAGTCTACCACCCTTACAATATAATTACTTATCGTTGCAATATAATAAAACTGCATAAAAATTTATCAAGTAATTTAAAAGTACAAACAAACAGATAATCGCTGAGAACCGTTTAACTTATAAAATATTTAGAAAGAAAAAAAAAATAGAAAATAAATATTTAACGAAAAATCACATTTCATTCCCGTTTCGGTAAAACTGGATAAGCCAAACATAATAAATCATAGATACAAAATAGTAGTGTCACGTCACAGATTAGCGCTCGACTCCTGCGGTCGTGTTCTAGGAAATTTACGTACGCAAAAATTTTGTTTATTACCCATACTATAAATCCATCGCTGCTTTTAGCAGTCGTACTTGTAGACATGAACTAACTTAAGAATCAATGAATATTGAAATGTAAAAACAATTATATTTTCGGATACAATCGTAGTACTGGATGAAAATAATTTAATTAAAGTATATTTCTTTAAAAACAACATTGTTTTAAACCCTAAGTACTTATTTATGAAATGTTATCCCTTTATTTTAAAATCTACAAGTTGTGGATGAATTTTCGCAGTTGGATATGCTGAAAAACACAATTTTTACGTCTGCATCCGAATCCGAAACAACACTGGTGATCGAAACAAACGCTCCTCGCGCACTTGTGGTCTACGAGTCACATGTGCGGCAACAAGGTCGCGAGCTTTTCTGCGTTTTTTCCGCTGTCGTCAAACGACACAAACATTTTTGGAGTTGTGCTTTTTTCTATGCTTTAAATAACCTTAAAAAGACATAAAAAATTCTATTACTTTACAAAAGATTTATTATGGCAAAAATAATAATAACATAGAATTGTTAGTAGAAAAATCTAATCGAAATACGTCTGACGACTTATTGAGTGAATCACAGAGTAGCTCTATCTTTTTGGTAAAGATATAGTATCATTTGGCAGGAGGGGTGGGTGAGTGGGGCAGAGGGGAGAGGTGACCCGGGCGGCACTTAAGGTAAATCCGGCCCTGTGTATTATCTACGCTTTCAACTGCATATTTATCTTCAAACAAAGAAAGCTACCAATGCGTTGTCGCCTTTTATATATTTATTTGTTATTACAAAATATTGTCATTTAGTGACATCCGACAGTACATATAAACTTATGAAAATATATCCATGTACCGTCGATTCGTAATTTCGTTCATGTTCAATCGGTTCGCGTTGCGGCAACTTGTTTAGTGACGTAAATATGTATATAGTTAGGTCCTTAGGGATATAAATATGTAAACATTCACATTGTAATATTTATTTAAAAAAAGCACCGCTGGGTTACTTGCTGGTACTTCCCAGGACAGAGGTTTTTCTCAAACCAGTGGTAAAGTAAAAAATAACTTTCAATAAGAATTACACAAAAAATTTTATATTGATTCCATAATGCCAAAATTCTTCATAGAAAAGTTGTCTCTAAACATAAGTATCGATGGGTTATAGTGCTGTGGATGGGTGCGGTCACATTTGACCTCTTGAATTTTGAAAATATCGAAGCGGTCAAATTTGGACGCTTGCCGTTTGAGAGGTTAAGCAGTAATAAATGTAAATGTCTATGAGCCACAGCATCCACTTACCACTAGGTGGATTGTGTGCTCGTTTGTCACCCTTATTCTATAACAAAAAAATGTCGCAAAATTAGTTAGAGTACTCTTTTTTCCAATTTCCTCCTGCTCCTGTATATTCAGTTTACAATTATAATAATTATTTCACAAGATTAGCTTATTTATTATTAGATTATGGAATACTGTTCCCATCTCTGGGCTGGAGCTCCCCAGTACCAGCTCCTTCCACTTGACCGCATCCAGCGCAGAGCGGCTCGAATCGTCGACGACCGAGTGTTTTCCGATCGGCTCGATTCATTGGCATTGCGAAGAGATGTTGCATCTCTTTGCATTTTCCTTCGCATATACCAAGGAGAGTGCTCTGAGGAATTGTTCGGATTAACCCCAGCCGCCAAATTTCGTGAACGCACTACGCGGCAAACGTCGCAATACCATCCACATCATCTGGATGCTTGGCGGTCCACCACTGTACGTTTCAAGAGGAGTTTTCTTCCACGTACAACCTCTCTGTGGAATAGTTTACCACCAGCGATTTTTCCGGACCGATACGATCTGGGGACCTTCAAGAAAAGAGCGTACTCCTTTCTAAAGGGCCGGCAACGCACCTGCAATTCCCCTGGTGTTGCGGTTGATCATGGGCGGCAAGTCACTTAACATCAGGTGAGCCGCATGCTCGTTTGCCCCCTCTTCTATAAAAAAAAAGCTTAGTAAAATAGTTAGGAACTGCTGTTATATAACTATATTCCGGTATATAGCTATATAGCGAGCGATATGACTATATCACGGCTTTAACCATCTTGCTGTGACATATACATGGTGTGACAAAATAGCAAAATGTTTTTTCTGAACTAGTAGCGTACCAAAGCAAAACATAATGAGTGAGTAAGCCTCTGAAGACTAAGTACAATGACTCACAGCCAGTTACTATACTAGCTGTCTTTATCCTTCATCGGAACACAGCAGTACAAGCAGCTGCCATTTGGTGGCAGAAATGGTAAGGGGTACCAACCCAGATGGATTTCTAAGCAGAAAAGGACTCCTACCATATTTTATACGTGGTAGAGCCATGCTGCAGTTATATTAGTAGTATAGTTGTAGCACGAATGGGTCGGCTCGACCGGGGAAGGACCACGCTCTCACAGAATATCAGCGTCAAATAGTAGCTTAATGCTGCTGTGTTTCGTATGCTGAGTGTAGAGAACCGGAGACTCTTATTATGAAAATGCATTCCATCGTAGTCCTCACATGTGGCAACGCATCTGTCTGTAACTACTTACCATTATGTGCTTGTTTATCACCTTATCCCATAAAAAAGTAACCTGCGTATATTATTTCAGGGTGGTCTTCGCGAGTGTTCAAAGCACAGGCGACAAAACCTACATGCGGGAAATGATGACCATCGACAAGGACTGGCTGCTGGAGATCGCACCGCATTATTACAAAGAGACTTGAATTTTAACAAACTATAATATAATGTACCTTGTCGTTTTCTTCTTCTTTTTTGGGTAGTTTTCTATTCCGTTCACCTGGTATACCCTATTTTTTTCAGACGCTAGAAAAATTACCCAGTGTATGTATGTAATATTAGAAAACAACAGCTCATTTGCAACAATCGCAATACTAGGTCTACTCGCAGAACCACTGAATATCATTTCCTAGTAAAATACTGACCTTTTCTATACTTACTTCCGATTGAAATTACCAAAAAAAAAAAGGAAAATATACAGGGTTATTTTCCAATGATCGGCCAAATTTGCCGAAAAGGTTCAGTATAGGTAATATAGGAAAATGTTGAAGAAAATTTAATTAAAAAATCTCAAACATTCTGTCCGTTTTATCTTTTAAATTCAAAATGCGTGCTAATGCATTATTTTAACTGATTTTACTGCGCACGCACACATTTGTAAGGGTCGATCGGTAAGCAAAAACGTTGCCCATAAATCACATTCAATTTGGGATAAATTCAAATAAAAATAGAAATTGGTCGTTGGCCAACATAGTGGCGAATGTAGTGGCGAAGATATTGGCCAAGAGCTTGTGATGGCATCCACACGTTGGATAGTCGTTCAGTTTGCTTCGGTTCAGGAGAATGTGCGGACGAATTTATTTTATTTGGCTCCGTGGTGCAGTGAGTAGCTGCGCCGGGGGCCGCGGGTTTGAATCCCGCACGGAACAAGTATTTATATTTATACTACAAATAATTGTTCCGAGTCTGGATGTATGTCCTTGTGCAATTTATGTTTGTAAACTGATCTCCGCGATACAGGAGAATATCGTAATCCTCATCATCATTACAGCTGTTCACAAGTCCACTACTGAACATCCTCCTCCACAGACTGTCGCAAAGCATGGTCCTGAGCCACTTTGCTCGTCATGAGTTTTTCATTTATGTTCTAATTTATAATTAGTACCTATTCTTAAGTCAGTGTTAATTATATTTATTGCTATTGTTTTTGTCTTTCTCAAAAAATAATTAAATTATCAAATAAATTATAAGGTGTTTTTATTAACATCAAATGTCTGATAGAAAAGCAAGTACATGTTTTGCTAAACTTTACAATCAAAACCCAATTTTAAAACATAGACTAATCGATTATAACTCCTTTAACTTTAAAATAAGTTAAGTTCTAATTTATGGTATTTATTCCAGTTTATGATGCATGTAGAGAATAAATAAAGCTAATCGTATATGGCATATTTATTTACAGCCCCATTAATATCAACTATGCTTTTATAATTTTTTTATAAAAAGGTTATCCCCACACTTGGATTTTCTCCTGTATCGCGGAGGCAGTTTACAAACATAAATTGCACAAGGACACACATCCAGACCCGGAACAATTAGTTATAGGGCATACAAATACTTGTTCCGTGCGGGATTCAAACCCGCGGCCTCCGGCACAGCCACTCATTGCTAAGCCACTGCGCCACAGAGCCGTCGTCCGTCCGCACATTGGCCCGAACCGAAGTAAACTGAACGACCTTCCAACGTGTGGACGCCGTCACCAACTCTCGGCCACTATATTCGCCACTACATTCGCCACTGTGTTGGTCAACGTGTAGAGGCGACATAAAGTATATCTGTCACTGTCAACGAAATAGCCGGCCTAGCGATTCATTTTTCGCATTATAAGATCAAAAACGATAGAATTTAGTTAAATGTACGTTCAATTTCACCTTTAGTTAGTGATTTACTAATATTTTCAAAAAAATTTTTAAAAGTACTTCGACGCTGCTCTGGCAGCAAAAATCGCATGGCCGTAGAAAAAGAATTTTTCTTTTACAGGGTATTAAAACCTACATTATTAGATTTATTCAAAATATGTGTATCACTGCCTGCTCTAGGACCTAAGTAATAGCTTTTAATACGGAAATAGTTTTCCTTTGTACTAACAGATGGCGCTACTATAACCATTGTTGTGTCACATATTACCGTTACCTGCTGAACATAGGCCTTTCGTCCAGATTGCCTCATAGGGGAGATATTTGCCATAGTTTTGTATTATTTTGAGTGGTCATCAGGGAGAATAGATGCTGCTGCTCGTTTCCTATTTCGATTTCCCTTTGTCGCCAGTTACAAGATCCTTGGGTACGATGTGGGTTAGTGGATATTCTTAAACAGCCACTACAAGCTAATCCGTTTGAACATTTGGAAGATTCAATCGTCAAAAGACTGTCCAAAAACACTCAGATACAAACATTTGGTTGGTCAAGACAGAAATTTTTCCGAACCAGTGGTAAAAGCACAATAGATTTTCAATTAGTATTATTGTAGATAAATCTATACTCTTATATTTAGCCGAGGTGGTTATTTGAAGGCAATTATAACATGATAAAAACATTTTTTAAATTTTTGTCTGTCTGTCTGTCACTTGAACCTAATAAACATATGAAGAGAAAACCTTGGAAATTTACTATATTACCAAGTGGTAAAATTAAAAATTTTGTACACCAACTTCAATATAATTAAAATGAGAACAGTATATTATCCGAAGTCATTTAAATACACATTATTAAAGATAACTCAAAACTACTGGTCAAAAAAGAATCTTAAAAATCGGTTCACTCAAAGAAAAGAATAGAAGAAAATAAAAGAATTCTTACACCGCCATTACACGGTAACACCGGTGGAATTAATGCGGCGTTATTTGGATTTAACATTTAGGCTTTTTTTATAAAAAGCGAAAAATTGATAGAAAAAATGATCTTTAACTATCTTAAATCCAAATAACGCCGCAATAATTCTACCAGTGTTACCGTGTAAAGGCGTTGTTAGAATATCCACTACCCTATACCATGTCGCGAGTGTCGTAAGAGGTGACAGAGGGAAATAAATCAGGAGATGAGCAGCAGCGTCTTCCTAATGTTACGAGCTTGGGGTTCGTGATCATAAAAACTGCCGATTGAATTACCAAAATTGACACTTTAATTACCGAACACCAATTACAACTTAAAACACTGATCACTTTAGTTCGCAGTTATATCGCTTCGAAGTGTTCGCTCGAATCCCCAATTCAATACTGACTCGGTCGCGGTCCCTACCGGCCTTGTATAGGGCCTATTCTACTGAAACATCTAGAATGTTCGAATACATACCGGTCCCGACTGACTAGGTGTAGAAAAATCTAGTATAGAATTTTCTAGAAAGCTCTCCTAGTTCTGCTACTCGATACTAGCTGGCTCTAGTGGTAACTCACCATGCACCAGGCGTTAATTATGGCACGCAATACTAATAACAACTTAAAGTAAAAAACTGCGGTTGTCAACCCGTTTGCCAAGCATGACAACTTTGGCAAATTTAGCGGTGGACATTAGTCTGTAACGGTCAGCAATTGTACCAGCTGAAGCTGGGGCGGGGCGCTAGTATTAAATCAAAATTATTCTATTCTGTGCTCTATAATAGGTCATTACTTAAGTGATCTTAATAAAAATAACTTCGCGGAAGTACATAGGTACACAATCTATATAAATACACATTATATCATCTGGATGTTGACTCTGTAAACAACTAGAAGAACTACAGACTGATTTTCTTTCCGAGCCGCGTCTACGTGCTGTTTTCGAGAGTCATTTCGAATTGTCTCGCACGCAGACTCGACGACTTCCAGCCTTCCGAACAAGCCGGTTTCCGAAAAGGCTTCAGTACCATAGACTACATACATACCCTGCGGCAGTTTGTACAGAAGACCGAAGAGTACAATCTGCCACTTTGCCTGGCGTATGTGGACCATGAGAAAGCCTTTGATTCCGTCGAAATTTTGGCGGTGCTACAGTCCCTTCTTTCTTCTACCAAGTTGACTGTCGGTATATCGAAATGCTGAAGTGTTTGTACAGTAGGGCTACGATGGCTATCCGAGTACAGAACCAGAATTCGAAACCTATCCAACTGCAGAGAGGTGTAAGACAGGGTGACGTTCCCCGAAACTCTTCACCGCTGCGTTGCAAGACGTTTTCAAGCTACTGGACTGGAAAGTATACGGTATTAATGGCGAGTACATCACTCATTTTCGATTTGCCGACGATATAGTCCTTATGGCAGAATCGCTGGAGGATCTTAGCACTGTGCTCAATGACCTCAATGGTGTCTCCAAACGGATAGGTCTTAAGATGAACATGGACAAAACAAAGACCATGTTTAATGTCCATGTCACACCTATGCCGGTAGTTGTTGGGAGCACTATGCTCGAAGTTGTTGACGAGTACGTTTACCTGGGACAAATAGTCCGACTAGGTAAGTCCAACTTCGACCGAGAGATCAATCGACGGATTCAAGACGGATGGAGACGGACGACGGAATCTTCTCGTCAGGTATACCACAAACTCTGAAAACCGGATTGTACAACCAGTGCGTGTTGCTGGTGAGATGACTTACGGATCTGAGACATGGTCCTTCACTGCTGGCCGTATGAGGACGCTAAAGGAGCGAGCTATGGAGAGGGCTATGCTCGGGGTTTCTCTGCGTGATAAACTCAGAAATGAGGATATCCGCAGTAGAACCAAAGTGACCGACATAGCCCAACGGATTAGTAAGCTGAAGTGGCAATGGGCCGACCATATAGTTCGAAGTACCGATAACCGATGGGGAAAAAAGGTTCTCGAGTGGCAGCCTCGTACCGTTAGGCGTAGTGTAGGGCGACCCCCCACTAGATGGAGTGACGACCTGGTAAGACATGGAGGAAAGTCGATGGATGCAGATGGCTCAGGACTGTGCTTTGTGGCATTATTTGGGGGAGGCCTATGTTCAGCAGTGGACTTGTGAAAGGCTGTAATGATGGTGATGATGTGCTCTTTAGTAGCTCATTACTTAAGTGATCTTAATAAAAATAACTTGGCGGAAGTACAAAGGTACACAATCTATATAAATACACATTATATAATCTGGATGTTGAGTCTGTAAACAAATCAATCAAGGACCAGCTTCATCTCTTATCGTTTCTTTAATTAATGTATTTTATGAAATTACTGTTTATTATTTTATGTTTTATAATTAACTGCAATGTCAAATTGATTAACGTTTCGCACCAGAATTTACCTGTAATGTTGAATAGATACGGGCCGATCATGTGCACGTGCAGTGAATATTTCTGATGTAACAAAGCATTTTCAACCGACTTCAAAAAAGGAGGAGGTTTTCATTTCGACTGTATTTTTTATGTGTCTCTCAAAACTTTTTCAACTTTTTCAAAATCGGTTCAGATTTTGATGATTCTTTTTTTATTTGAAAGCTGGTGTGTTTCATGTGTCCATGGTCCCATATAAATTTGATCAAGATCTGACCGGTAGTTTTTGAGTTATCCTTAATAATGCGGTGGTTAATTCGTTCAAGTGCGTATATAATTGACTTCGATTACATTGATGATGTTCTGATTTTATTTATATTGAAGTCGGTTGTACAAAAATTTAAATTTTAACCTGTTGTTTAATCTTCGAATGTTTTCTTTACGTGTGTATTAAAAATGTAGTTAAATGAATAAATTCCAGTTTTCATTTTTTCCATTACAGCCTCTTTTTACCAAAAATCTTGTAAAGTCGGATGAGTTTTGAGCGTTCTTTTGGGGAAAGTGGAGAAAAATGCATGAGCAACCAGAGATGACAGAAAATTGTAATTCAGTTCAGTAACGTCACCTGAAAGACGCAAGAAATGTGTATACATATTATATCAATTTTGGTATAATGCATGAATATGTGGTTAAAAATTTATACGCACTTTGCTGTTGTAGGCTGAATAGCTCCTTTAGGAGGGCGCCATCTTTTAAGATGCAATGCTCTGTTCACCATAATTCGAATGGTATTATCTAAGAAATTTCTTCGTTCTTCTTCTGACAGCTCATCTTCAAGGAACTTTTCTAAGCCTTTCATAAGATCTGGGTCTTTGACGTCGTCGTCTGGATCTATGCCAATACTGAATACAAGATTTTTGTTAAAAAGTCCTCTCATCTCATCTGTTATGTACATACTTTAGTACATATTAGTTCAATGGTTACAACATATAAAACTCCACTGCCAAAAATTGGCCACGTGGTAACACGAATGAGTCGGCTCGACCGGGTAGGACCACGCTCACAGAATACCAGCGTAAAATAGCAGCTTGTTGCTGCTGTGTTTCGTATGTTGAGTGTAGAGACCTGGATACCCGTTTTCCTGGAATCGAGGCATTCCATCTTAGTCCTCACGGGTGACAACGCATCTGCATTTTGATTCTTAATCGAGGATAGATGTAGATGTCTATGGGCTACAGCATCCATTTACCACCAGGTGCAGGTGGACTGTGTGTTCGTTTGTCACCCTTATTCTATAAAAAAGGCTTCCCCCATATATTGCCTCATAGGGAGTGAAGAAATAATAATGATCTTGTATTGAAACGAAGAGGAATCTTAAGGTCGCTTAGGGAGATACTCTGGGTGATTTTTTTTCCGTCTGGAAAAAATATGGTCTAACAGGAGAACGGAATGGAAGCTTATGGCACAGATATTTTACAATTTCCAAGATATATTCCAAGATATATTCACCCACGTAGTCTAGCGGCCTATTTTCTAACCTGATACACTTTTTTTCTATTCTATCTTGGAAAACTAATAAGTTTCAAAACAACAGTAATGAAATGGAGATACAGCGTAGAATAAAAATCGCGTGGAACAAATATTGGAGCCTAAAAGATGTATTCAAAAGCAACATGTCGATAAAGCTCAAAAAGAAAACTATGGACTCATGCTTTCTGCCCTCTCTAACGTATGGTTGCCAGAGGTGGAAAATTGCGAAGAAAATTAAAAACAAAATTATTTCATGTCAGAAAGGAATGGAACGCAGCATGTTAAATATAAAGAAAATACAAAAAATACGACACACGAAAATACGAAACTATACTGAAGTAATGGACGCGCTGGCTTACGCTCAAGCACTAAAATTCAGATGGGCTGGTCATATAGCCCGATACGATGACAACAGGTGGACTATAAATGTAACCACATGAAAAGGCCCACCAGGCAAACGCCGAGCAGGGAGACCCTACATGAGATGGGAGGACGACATAAAGAAGATCGCGGGAACAAACTGGTTAAGATTAGCAAAAAACAGAGAAAAATGGAAATCCTTGGAGGAGGCCTTTACGTGAGAGGGGTCCATGCTATTTATAATATTTAAAATAATTATTTCATTCTAGCATTAAATATTACTTTATTGGTTACTCTATTGATTGAATTGTATAAGTACGAGATTATAATTTTATTTTTAATTTTAATTTCAATTTTGATTTTAATTTTGATTTTGATTTTAATTTTAATTTTGATTTTGATATTTGTATAATAATAATAAAAATAAAATAAAATTGTATAAATAATAATAATTAAAAAATTACATTATAAGCAAAAAATTCAACATTAAAAAAATCCAAATGTTTTTATGTTAATAGTAAAGCTAATTATGTCATATATTTTAATATATGATTACAAGTGCATGTAAACAATGATTAATTAGTACTATGTTAATTTATGTTATAATTTAATTAGGTAATCTGAACTGAATTGTTGCATAATAATTTCAATGCTCAAAAATCATTGTAATGCATGGAATTAAAAAGCTTTTTTATTTTTTATTATTTTATTTTATTATTTTGCAATTTATTTTTTTATTTTACAATTTAGTACAAAGATAAATTGTACGAGGACAAACATCCAGACCCGGCACAATTATTTGTAGGCCATACAAATACGTGTTCCGTGCGGGATTCGAACACGCGGCCCCCAGCGCAGCCGCTCATTGCCAAGCCACTGCGCCACGAGTCTGGGTAAACGACACCCTTTTTCCTATTTCCGCGGTGTAACTATAAACCCCCCATCGTCGTATGAGCGTCATAACAGCCGAGGGAAAATTAAACAGGACTGAGGCAGCAGTTTTTCTTTATAACAATTCAAAATTATTATAAAAATGTAAACATATAATCATATATCTTCCATAACGTGAGTACCAGATAGCACCATGGGATCAAAAGATTCACCCTTCTTAATATGGTCCGATTCACCGGTGAGCGACATCTGTAAACAACGCGAAACCGCGAAATCATACATAATACAAATTCTATTTAAGGGAAATCGCTCAAGAATGCATCAAAAGCACGATAAACAACGAACCTAAATCTAAATTACAACCACAGCGACATCAAATAAAAACAGAACACTACATTTTAAATAACCTGTGACTCACACCCCACTGGCCAGGCTTGCCAACTACGCCAGTTCCAGCTAGAGGCATATGTTTAATAGTGGACCATTATATGCTGAGACGTATAAATGAAGTATAAGTTGTAATTTGTATTGAACAAAACATTTTGTTAACAAAAAGACGTAATACAATACTGATATCGCTATCTAATATCATTTGATACTTTTTAAACTTGATCTATAAAGTTTATTGAAGTGAACAACAAAATTTTATTTTATTATCAGTACGGAATCCGGCTCCAGGATTACTACGTTCATGTCATCTTTAATCCAAATCTTATTTTAATATATAGTTATAAGTGAGGGCATACATTCATTAGAATGTATGCCCTCACTATATTAATACGGTATATTAAAACTGTATTTATATTGCTGAATAAATATATATGTATAGTAATGCAAACATAGCGTGCACTTGGCCGAATTTTTATTCAGATCATGTGTTAGTAACTTTAGTATTCGATGTAACCTTTGACTCTTTTGACTTTTTTATCTTCATATATCATTATGTTATCTGTTCTAACAGTGCGTTTAACCAATTTAAAATAAATGTTTCCTTATTAGTTTTTTGCTTTTTACTATTTTACCTTTTCTTCTTTTTTATAGAATAATGGTGACAAACGAGGACACAGTCCACCTGATGGTTCGTGGATTTTGTGGCCTATAGACATGGACATTTATCCTCGATTAACAATCAAAACGCAGATGGGTTGTCACCCTGTGGACTAGGATGGAATGCCTCGTTTCCAGTAAAAAAGGGTCTCCGGATCTCTACACTCACCATACGAAACACAGCAGTATTAAACTGCTATATTAAGCTGGTATTCTGTGAGAGCGTGGTCCTTCCCCGGTCGTGCCGACCCATTCGTGCTACAACCATAATATAGCCGCATCGTTGTTCTACCACGTATATATACAATAATTTGTATTTGCAAGGCGAAATAATTCCATTTCCTCTACACAAGAAGCGTTGGTAATTCCCTCTAAATAGTTCAATTCAAGATAACGAGATAGAAGTTCAAAGATCCAGCAAAACATAACATTTTTTTTATTTAATTAATGCCAGATTATTTTCGTGCTAGTCAGATATTTAATTTACGATTGTAAATATTTATGTTCGTTGTTTTTATTTTATTTCGTTACCAAGGGGGAATAGTCATAGCACTGGGAGACAGATTTTAGGATGTAACTTTTACTCTAATAGCTCTGGTCGGCCAGAGATACTATCTGATTGATTTGTTTTGACTTGACAGGACTTTTGGACAGGATTTCAGGATTGCGTTCGGATGTTGAAAATGTCGGGATTATTCAACAAAATACAGTAAGGTTTTTTTGCGTGGGAAGGCTGTAATCTGCGACGTGGATAGATCGCGAGGGTGCACAAAAACAATAATGCATTTTTTACGCTTGTCAAAGACGTTTGCAACAAAAGTCAGGATTTTCTTACGGAAATCTGGTTATTTGTCAGGAATGTGCAACTTTCCGGCTGATCGACCCCGACGAATACCGTATTGGCAGTCACTAATCAGCTGGTGAGGATTCAAGGTACCTCATGAGCTGGCAGTTTATAATAGTTTCCATCGTTTTGAAGAACATGTAGGTGATAGTAATTCAGTAATTAGACGGGTCTTTTTAGGGATTGAGTGGACCAAAGCTGCCTTCCATGAATTCAGGATTGCACCTTGGAAGTAGGAGTACCGGAAAAGATGCGTTAAGACCGGTGCCAACTCGGGAACACACGTCTTTAGCACAATGGAAGGGACTTCATAGACCCACTCGACTTGTTGACTTTCACCATGGGATTGTCGGCGGTGTGTTCTATCATTGAGAGTCGAGTTGGACGGAAAGAGAACAGATTGGCTTTCTCCTTTGCGGCATGTGCCAGTGAGTCGACCTCCCTGTGCAAAGACAGGAGAGATGGCTAACAGAAGTTCCCTTGGAAATTCTTGGCAAGAGACCAGAATGCACGGGTTCCCGAAAGAAGGCGACTTAGTTTCTGTGCTCTGACCTTGTCTTGGCAATGACTCTTTTGAAGGACCTGGAGGCGGAATTATAATTCTTTTAAAGAGCGCTAGTGTTTAAATCCCGAGAGGTCGATGCGTCAGTCCAAGCCCAGTAGCATTCCTGCTTATAGCGTGATGCTATTTTACAGGAGCGACCAAACTATAGCTGCGATCTGCCTCCTATTGGCACTATAGAACATGGAATTAAAAGTTCGATACTCCGAAGTACCACATCAGCGACAGAATCAGTAACAACGCTGGGATCTTCCGGCATGAAGCAAACGCGCCACCAAAGGGATACAAAAAAAGACCGCATCCCCGTCGATGAGTCAGTCTCTGTAGGCATTACCGTTATGGGACCTATAGACGCATGGATGGTCGTCGCTATCTACGCGTAGCCATAGAATGGAGAAGTCCGAACCTTCAAGACTGCCGAGGTTTGTGTTAAGCGCAATCCCCTCCCCCCCCCTCGCCACAGAATATGTAGGGCAGTCTGAGTCCGAGCTCGAGAGTGGAGTAGCTTGGTTATGGATGCTCAGCGAGCGATTCTCCATTACTTGGGGTGCTGGTACCCTCCTGTATTTCATTTAATTCAGCTACTATGTTGGGTAGGGCGAAATTGGGTCTCCGGCCACTTGCACTCAGCAAACGAAACGCAGAATCAAAGATTCTACTTCACGCTGGTATTCTGTGAGGTCGCGGTACTTCCCCGGTCTCG